CAAGTTTTTTTTTTTTTTTTTTTTTTTTTATCAGAGGCTTCTGGCGCTCATTCAGCATGAGTCTCTTTTTTTTCCCTTTTCAGGAGAAATGAAGACAAATGTTTGCAGCTGTGCTGCAAGACTAGAGGGGATCTTGCAGCCACGCAATTGCAATATCATTAAAGATGAAATGGAATTAAATGTATTGTAAACTAGTGATTTTAAAAGCGTTTGCTTTTGCTCAGAGCGCATCTATTTCTCACAATTTGTAAGGTGCAGATGTTTCACAGTGTGGTCAGGGATGGAAGATTTTCCCATGGTGAAATGACATAGATGAGTGTTCGGCTTTAATTAGAACGGGCTCTCCAACATTTTCCAATCCCACCATCGCCAACTCTTATGATGTCTGTATTTTAAAAGGACAGCTCCAATATACAAGAGGCAGTGGTATCAAGTAATGAGCCAATTCGCTCTCAGGAGGGAAAAGGAAGAGTTTGTCAGGGACACAGCTAAAAAAAATCTATATATTTATATATGTGATGGTGGAATAGAAATATTTATTGGTTTTTAAGAAAAGTGAGGATCCTACCACTCTTATCTTGCATGATGGCAAAATAAATGCAGGTCCTTTCCCAGACTAATTACCTGTGGTTGACAGATGTAGGCCTTTATGTCACACTGTATTTAAATTTAAGGGGAAACAGCAATTTCAGATTTATGTCAGTTCTTAGACACTCCTTACAATCTTTAAAAAAAAAGGTAAGACCAAATTTATAAAACCGATTAAGCTACTTTTTTGTGGAGTCTTAAAAGTGCCAACAAGTGTACCCTGGTAATTTGCTTTTCACAATCATTCTGTTACACTGAGTTTTTTTTTTCACAGGAAAAAAAAATCCTCAAATTCAAATGTGGTTTCCTTCAAAACGCTTATTATTTTCTGACTTTTTCACCCAGGGTACCAACATTACTTTTCTTCCTGTCTGTAGCCATCAAATATTAGCGCCCTGTTGTCAGAGCACACAAAGAAAGCCTGCAAATGTGCATCACAACCAGCAGGGAGCTGAATTTACATCTTGCAATGCCAGACTGTAATTTTATGTTGGCATGCACCCACCCACACACGCACACTCTCTTCACAAGAATGTTGGGGAAATGTTTGATCTTTTCAGGAACACCGAGCAAGATGCTTATTAAAGCGGGAGGTGGAATTTTTCTCCCATCTGATTTATATCAGGTGCAAGTCAATAGATGGGTAATTTGTCTGATAGGAGCGTTTTTATTACAGAGTTCAGGCTGCAGCAGAAATGATAGGTCTCCTTTTAAAGCAGTTGTGGCCTGGAGTTTGCCCCTTTCTTTTGTCTTCCGCTGATTATTCTGGAACGCTTTTCTTTAGACTGGACTCCTGTGCAGGGGTTGCATCTCAGAAATACAGCAACCCACGACAAAGAAAAAAATTGTTGAGATTCACCAGTGAGCTACAGTCAATACTCTGGTTAATTTAATGTTAAACATGTTCTAATGGAGAAAGCTGTTTGTAATTTCTGGCACAAGGCATATGTTCCTATATATATATATAAAAAGAGATTTAAATACACAAAGGGTTGAAAAATCATTGTTGCTGCATAAGGGAAAATATGCTGTCAAGAAAACTAGCTGTAATGTCTCATATGGGTGCCAAGTCTGTTGCATTGTTTTGAGAACCAAAAGGATTCATGGAAAAACAACGCCACACAACGCAACGATTAGGAATATGTTCATCTGCATTATTTAACATGCTTTGAATCACATATTGTGCCTGGAGGGAAGCATTTTAGTACCTGTGCTTTGTGAAAAGGAAACAACACAAATCTAAAGCAATATTTTCATATATTGTCTAAATCTAGTAACCTTCATGTCTAATTCCACCCAGAATGACTGCTGAAGACACCACTTCACATCAATATGCCACTGACCTTCAGCAGTATATGCCCACATTGCTTTTGCAATAAATTAAAACCGATCGGAAGATAATGGCTTCGACTAATTCAGTGCATTGTATGTGTTAAGCTGCAGGGGAAAATGACTGGGGTCAAAGAATGCAGAGTCCGCCCAAGAATGCTAATAGGTCATAACAATAAAGTATTTTTTTGGATAAATCTGATATACAAAAAAAAAAAAAAAAAAAGGCCACAGTGCTGGCTGACCTCTGATGTTCTGATTTGTACTCAGCCCAAACTTGGCAGCTCCAGACAATAAGAGGACTTTAATAAGAATGATCTGACATGAGTAGAAATACTTTCCATGCGTAATTGACCCCTTTCCTGGACACACGCAATCCAACATCAAAAGGGTATATCCTCTGGGCTCCAAGAGCCGCTGATTAAACACATTTCAGAAGTATTTCCCTTCCACTTCCTGGATAGATCTGGCATCACAGTGTAAGATGTGTTTCATTAAGTTGTAAAATATATTTCTAAGTCCAGCGTGCAGTGCGTGTGAGAGTACAGTGTGCAAGTGCGTCGCCTTGTGTTTCCAACTCTGTGGAGGACATAGGAAGAGATGCCACTTCAAACAGCAGTTTTTCTTAAGAAACACCAAGACTTAGATGGAGCAGCAGGGGAAAATAGAGCATCGTCTTACCAGCTTACTGCCTAATCCCCACTGGCTGCAAATTTCAGTCGTGTAAAACAGCAGAATCGGAGCAGGACCTGACAAAAGATGACATTGGTTTGTAAGTTTTGGGCGATGACGCTCAGGGGGGAACCCCATTGTGGAGCTGTCACACGGCATTAGGCCAAACTTCAAACACTTTCATGTCTGAATTACCATTCACCCTTTGGAGATAATACATATTTGCCTTTGCTAATCCTTTTCTCTATTGATTTCCCCCCGCCTTCTTTTAATAACTTCTTGCAAGCGAGCAGATTTTCCGTACAAGAATGCTGACACGTGGGAGGCTGGAACAACAGGACGGGTTTAAGGCAGATGAGCCGCTTACTGCACTTGTTCACATACATACAAGATCTCTTTTGACATCTTTATTGATTCCAAAGACAATATGTGTAAAACGTTGTCATATAAAAGAAAACACGAATGCTCTCCTGAAAGAGTTACGTATCCAAAAATCACTCCTCAAGCATAAGTAGGTCAAGTTATCATAGTTTTGCCTGTGACTGAACGTCTGTTCCACTGCCTTTGTCATATTTTCTGGCAACTTATTGTCGTTTCATTACTGTAGGTTATTTCGATGTTAGTACAAAAATAAGAAAGAAACTTTATACATGTTTTTCTATGTGAGCCTTTTTTTCTTTTTAGCCGACGTATCCAAGCCGAAGAGCATCAACATCATCTCACAATCGTCTGGTTTAGGGTTGAAAGTAAGTTTTTAGTATTTGGTCTTAAACCCAAACGGTTTAAGCTAAACTACAGCATAATAACAAAAAACGTCCAAGATTACTCATATCTCCTAAAATTTTCACATTGTTTTTGTTACAGTAAAATTGGATTTTGTAAGCAAACAGGAGGCGCTTTAGTCTCCTGTTCTGACTCCTGAGTACGCGGCATTACACGACTGTATCCACACGGTTCGAGGTTGAACTCATAAAGATGTTAATCTGGTTTTCATAACTTGTAAAGAAACAGTGTATATTTAAAAGTTCGTACTACACTGATGTAAAAGCATACAATTTTATGTTGTTGCTAAGTAAAGCCAGATGCTTGGAGTTCAGCAACAAAGACTGCCAAGCTGCCCGGCCGGCCAGTGTTCGGTCATCCTGTTTTATCGCTGCCACATGAACCTGTAGCGGCACGCAAGGTTTGAACAAGGATGAATACCTCACTACTGTCTGCTTTTATGTATTAAACTGACATGACGTATGTTCACATGCTGTCATTTATACTTCTTTTTACAAATAATAATAATAAAAAAAACACTGTCTGGTCCTGGAAACTTCTGTTTTTCTATAAACATTAATAACAATATTTAAATATCTTTAAATATTCAATAAATACAATCTCAAAGTTCAACCAGAACCATGGAGGGATGGTTGAAAAGTTACTGTGTTGTGTAAACACATCACATAAATCAATGACACACACTGAAGTGTCAAATCTAACGCAATATTTGGCTTCTTAGATTATAACAACATTTTACATTCACTTGTTTTCACACAGATGTGGGTTGCAATTATGTTAATTTGATGTGTGGTTTAGTGCACTTGATGTTTTATCATTGGAGAAGCAGATCAGCCCATCTTGTGTTGACATGCTGGGCATTACAGGCTGTTTCTTTTTACTGACTATTTAGAGCTAGGTGGGTAACTACATTTTTAGCATCTCCCTACCAACATGTTTAAGTCTTTCTGTGATTCCGACTGTGATTAGATGGAGCTAGAAATTATAGCATAGCCATTGCAACTTTTTTTTTTTTCTGTCTAATTTTGGTATTTGACAAATATTTTACCTTATTCCATGCATTCCTTCATTTTAATATTCCTCATGTTTTTGTTCTCTGTGTATTTAATCTGAGCTCTGCATTGCAGCCGTTAGTTGTGGCTACTCTTTACGAATCTTAGTTCCTGTTTTATCTTGAAATTGGACAATATACTTTGATTTTAATTCATGTTGTGTTGTTGCTCCTGTTTTTGAACTTCTACGTCAGCTTTTGGTTTGAGTCTTGATTAACTTTAATGTCAGGCCATGCCCTGTTTATGCTTTGTGCCATATTCTATTTTCTGCGTCTTTGTTCCCCTGGTTCCTTTTGCCATTTCTCCCATTTCCTCAATTACACTTCAGTTATTTGCTTCCTTTCACGGACGCAGCCTGTTTCTAATCACCCACTAAGCAGTAAACACACTCCTCAGTGTTTCAGTTTCTGTCATTCTTTGCTAGAATATGCTGTTTCTCCCAGTCTGGTTCCAGTATGATTTTAGTGTGTTATATAAATCTTTGAGTTCAATAATGTAAACCTACCTTCAACACTCGTCTACCTTGTTCCTGCTTTTATAATAAACAAAAAAAATAAGGAAAATATGAGTCTTTTATTGTGCAAAACAAACTTTCATTCAACAAATCAGAGTTAAAAGAAATTATAAGTTACAGAAAAAATTACAGTCATAGCAGAACCCCTTCTAATGTACCTTATTTTTATTTACATGAAATTGATCCATGAGTTCTCCGGCTAATCCAGCCAGTTTCAGATCCTCACAAAGATCTCTTGTGTTGCAGCTGCTGTGCGTATAAAGTATAAATCTGTAATCCAGAAAGTCAAACACACCAGCAATGCTGCAGTGAAACATGGTGGTGGCAGCTTTTCACCACAAGTAAGTTTTTAGAGGAAATATTGAACGAGAAGTTCAGAAAATCAAACTAGTTCAATAAAAAGTCTTCACACCATATTACAACTGAAATCTTTCAATGTAAACAGTCCCACGGTCTCTCCAAGAACATTTTCTCACTTTCTTTTTCACACAATACCACAAAACATCTGAGGCCTTTAAACTCAGATGTTTTGTGTCTTGGCATGCTTTGTCCTCGGCTTCGGCACAGGAGACACTTGTTGTCCCTCGGTAGCTGTGGACAGCTGTGGAGACTTACTGTCAGTCCCAACATCCAGCTTGGAGATATTCTGGTAACAGGCCCTTGGTGAAGGCTGTGGACTTGGGGATGAATAAGTCTCCACATTGTGTATGTTCTCATACTCTGGGATGGACTCCGCCTCTCGCTTCTTGAACTCCACTCTGTCACTGAGCTGCATGCTAGATTTGGCGCGTCTGAGTGAGCGGCATAAGACCACAATAATGACGAGCAAAAGAAAAATCAAACCTGCTCCTCCTGCCAGGACTCCCAGAACAGTTTTGGTTTTAAAGTAAACCATTGGGGCTGTGCATGTTGGCCGAACTGTGTCGCTGCTCTTCGCACTCACTTTGTTTGCCACCGAGCAGGAAAAGTCGATGTCTTCTTTTAAGTCACTCAGTGATATGCTGAGAGTTTGTCTTGTTTCACTTGGTAAGAGCTTTTTATCTCGCGTCCAGGAGAAAAACACACCATCTGACATGGAGACTTCACAATTAAGCTTAATGACGTTGGTGCCGCAGCTATAATTGACTCGAGGTTTTGGTACATTTTCCATCACACAGAGCTGAGCAGTCCAGGTTTTATCCATGGTACCGTTAGAATACATGGCGTTTGCTTGATAAGTTCCTGAACTTTGCAGCTTTACACTCTTCAGCAGCAGAGATCCAGTTGGAGTGATGTCTTCTGGTTTTCCAGGTTTCACACTATTTTGTGCTCTGAAGAAAACAATGGTGGAGTTATGAGTCCATCTCAAAAAATGTGACTTTGTCAGTCCTTCATAATCAAAAGACAGAGTCACGCTCTCCCCGACAGAAGCGTATATGTCACAAGCTTTGCCTTTTGCTCCTGCGATGAATCCAAATAAAACGATTTGACCGAGCGCGACAATAAAACACGCCATTGTCTGCATAAAACGGTGTCAGTTTTGGTATCCAGTCTCTTGAGTCAGGATCGTTTAAGAGATCTGATCAGATCAGAGTCAGATTCAAATGCCTTGTTGTTTTTGAAAGCTGAAATATATGTGTCACGGAAAACCACATCTCCACCAGTAAAACGGAAGTATATCTTACGCAACAAGGAAATGGTTAGTCAAGAGTCTGTTTTCATTTCCAAACATGGTCTTTTGACAATAGTCTGTCAAAATCAGGTGACAGCTAAGATTTTCTGCTTAAATACCTTTTTTGTATTCTTTTTGACCAAACATGTCATCACTCAGTGAATTACTAAATTAAGTTTTGTTTAACCTTTTGTCCAGCCAAGTCAATTACATATTCACTTTATGGTGTAGCAAAATTAAACTAACTGGAGACACTTGTTGTCCTTCGGTAGCTGTGGAGACTTACTGTCAGACATTCTGTCAGATATTCTGGTAACAGGCCCTTGGTGAAGGCTGTGGACTTGGGGATGAATAAGTCTCCACATTGTGTATGCTCTCATACTCTGGGATGGACTCCGCCTCTCGCTTCTTGAACTCCACTCTGTCACTGAGCTGCATGCTAGATTTGGCGCGTCTGCGTGAGCGGCATAAGACCACAATAATGACGAGCAAAAGAAAAATCAAACCTGCTCCTCCTGCCAGGACTCCCAGAACAGTTTTGGTTTTAAAGTAAACCATTGGGGCTGTGCATGTTGGCCGAACTGTGTCGCTGCTCTTCGCACTCACTTTGTTTGCCACCGAGCAGGAAAAGTCGATGTCTTCTTTTAAGTCACTCAGTGATATGCTGAGAGTTTGTCTTGTTTCACTTGGTAAGAGCTTTTTATCTCGCGTCCAGGAGAAAAACACACCATCTGACATGGAGACTTCACAGTTAAGCTTAACGACGTTGGTGCCACAGCTATAATTGACTCGAGGTTTTGGTACATTTTCCATCACACAGAGCTGAGCAGTCCAGGTTTTATCCATGGTACCGTTAGAATATATGGCGTTTGCTTGATAAGTTCCTGAACTTTGCAGCTTTACACTCTTCAGCAGCAGAGATCCAGTTGGAGTGATGTCTTCTGGTTTTCCAGGTTTCACACTATTTTGTGCTCTTGAAAAAACAATGGTGGAGTTATGAGTCCATCTCAAAAAATGTGACTTTGTCAGTCCTTCATAATCAAAAGACAGAGTCACGCTCTCCCCGACAAAAGCGTATATGTCACAAGCTTTGCCTTTTGCTGCTGCGATGAATCCAAATAAAACGATTTGACCGAGCGCGACAATAAAACACGCCATCGTCTGCATAAAACGGTGTCAGTTTTGGTATCCAGTCTCTTGAGTCAGGATCGTTTCTGAGATCTGATCAGATCAGAGTCAGATTCAAATACCTTGTTGTTTTTGAAAGCTGAAAAATATGTGTCACGGAAAACCACATCTCCACCAGTAAAACGGAAGTATATCTTATTCAGCAAGGAAATGGTTAGTCAAGAGTCTGTTTTCATTTCCAAACATGGTCTTTTGACAACAGACTGTCAAAATCAGGTGACAGCTAAGATTTTCTGCTTAAATACCTTTTCTATATTCTTTTTGACCAAACATGCCATCACTCAGTGAATTACTAAATTAAGTTTTGTTTAACCTTTTGTCCAGCCAAGTCAATTACATATTCACTTTATGGTTTAGCAAAATTACACTAAATTGCTTTTACATTTGAAATGAAGTTGACAAAATGAAAATCTGGGCTTCCCATTAGTTAATTACCTCCACCTATGTGGTAGGATTTATAAAAGGTGTAAAACAATATGCTCTGCAGCATGGGCAGTTGGATTTAAATGATCTGTTTGTAAATAATAATAATAATAATACAAAAAAACAACACGGAATAGATCTGGAAATTAACCGAGAAATAGAAAGAAGCCAACAAAACATTTCAGAAAAGTAATATACATACAGATCATGAAATTATTGAAATCATACAAATCAATATCTGACGTTTATAAGATGTCCCCTATTTCCCGGCTGGAGTTTAGTTTTATTTTTCCTGGTTATTGGTTCTGGCGATACAAATAGTATAAATAATCTTCCATTTCTGTTTTTTTTTATTTTTATTTTGATTATTTATTTATGAATGTCTGTCCTGATAAAATAAGAGACTAAAGATTAACTATGGCCTTTCGTAAGACTGTTACACATATATGTTTACATGACTGACTTGTTGTCGTTTCTAATATGGTCAAATGAAACAAAGATAAACAAATTGAATGAAACTGTCTCTTGAGAAACAGACATTTATTCATTGACAAGGGCTCCAGCATTCTAATCTGTTTTATTTCCATGACTGATTTGCATTTTGTTCAGATGTGATCTCGATTTATCCTCTGGAAATTTACAGATTGACTTTTGAAAGCCCCGCATCCTTAACAATGTGGACCATTTCCGTCGAGTTTCCCTGTAAACTGTAGTCACCGTTCAGCGAGCGTCCAAAAACTCCTCCATAACTCCACAACCCGTTCTATCTCCAAGTTCCACCCTCTTGGCTCGAGCTCCACCGGAGCGAGTTCATTTCACACCCCCTCAAACTATCATTTTGCATAATTAGCAGTGATTCACACTCTTTCTGTAACTCTCAGCACCATCGTCAAAGAACACCTGTTTCTTCGAGCTTCACCGTCATTACACGTTTTCTCTCCGAGGGGACAGATTGATTGAGGTGTCAGCCTTTCGAAAGAGGGAAGGAGGAGGACTGAACGCTGAATGTAATTAATTCCTGCTTAACACTGTTGTAAACATTTTGTGTAAAAAAAAAAAAAAAAAAAAAATTAGAAATTAGAAAAAAAATGGAAGAAAGTCAAGCAAAGTTAATGAGGAAGAGAATGTAGGAATGAGGCTCGCTTTAAAACTGTTTTTTTCTTTTTCACTGTCCGCATTATTTGTACTTTGCAAGTCACTGCAAAAAATGCGCCCAGTAGAGCATCAGTAGACCTTTAAATACTTCCCAACTCTACACCCTCCATTACTGTGAACAAGCCTAAAACCCAAAGTCACCATTTTGACCCCGTAGCATGTGTTTTCCTTCAAATTCTTTGTCTCTGGAGCAGAGCCAGGTCCATGAAAATGTATTATTGTCCTGATACGTACAGACTGCTCAGCGCTGAAATAAATCTGGGACATTTCATTTGGAATGTTAATGGAAGCACTCAGTGAAAGTTAAATCATACTTCCTGCATCCTGTTACACTGGAAATATTTCTCCATGGCTGGACAAATCTGGTGTTTACATCGCAGTGCTCCGACATGAAGGGTGACTTACATAATCAAGAAGAAATAAAATGATCGATAATTTTTCCCCGACAGAGTCGCGAACCATCAAGCTTCCACCAAGCAGTGTCATTTGTTGAACAAAACTTTTTAGAGGACTGGAAGAAAAACAATTGTTAAATAAAGTCTGTCTAAAAGCCGCTGACTTCTGCTATCCCGGCCGACTTCTCGAGCCTGACAGCGTTACCTCACAGCGTCACAAGTACGTGGTTGCATGCTGACAGTCCACTGACGACATTGTGGCATTGTGTGACCTTCTGTTTTTTCCAAGCTCAGTTTTTATTCATTTTATCTTCTGATTTCGAATGACTTTAAATATTTGTCATTACAAAAGTAAACAGGTTGCTGTTCCATCCAAATAATTTCATACAAATGCGAGCCAGTATACTTAAAAGATCCAATCTGTTGTAAATCTTTAACTTTACCTCTTTACTGGCTACACAGAAACATCTAAAAAGGTTAATTGGCTGGCTACCTGTTTGTCCCTGAACCTCCGAGGCAGGGAGTCCGTCTGGTTAGCTGATGTTTAATTCAGGGGCCCAGATGGGGCCCCACCATCCTGGCTGTGAGATCTTGAACTCTCTCTCGCTCTCTCACCGGAGTGCCTGGGGCTCTGGACGGCCTTGGGGGAAGAGTGGATCTGGACGGTTCCCTCCACACACCAAAGACAATGTAACCTGATGGTAGTTTTGTAGTTGTTTTTAGGTTTCTTTGAGAATCTCGTAAGATCAGTTTCAGACTGGGTGGAAACTATGTTTACAGTATTTGTGAGAGTAATGGACAGCAGCTGCTCTCGGATGTATAAAAACTCCCACAGCTACACATTGAATACTCAAAACGCAAAATACACCTTAATTTGCATTAATACAAAGGTGAAAACCATCTTAGCAGAGTCTAATATCTACAGTCTTCCATCTGCTCTCAGGGAACAGCCAATCAGTGGCAAGGAAAATAAATGGCACTTAGTGTCATTGCTGACTTATATGATCCAAACATCCAATAAACAGGACATATCTGACAACATGAAGAAGGCAAAAAGTAATCTTCTATAAAGGCAAAAACAGAATAAATCCTGAAAGAGACGGATACTTTTTCACAGCGCTGTTAATCAATAAATCATTTGTAGTCATTTATAAAACAGGTTGGAAAAACTCAGCCACTGCGAAAAATAAAATAAAATAGGCAACATTTTGAAACTTGTGTGGCGCTGCAGTCCTTTCTGATTCAACAAGAGTGTGCGTGCGCTTAATTCAAGGAAATATATTTATATAAAGGTTACAGGTTCAGGCACAGAGCACAGACTTACATAATGAAAGGATTACCATAGTAATCTTATCATGCAACAGTGTGTTCACAACATAATCATGTTAGCTCCGTCATTTCCATAATGCTGCATAATCCCCCCACACAAGTCTAGCCTATTAACCTTGTGAAATTTGTTTAGGTTATGCAAGAGTACTGAGATTAATTAATACAAATGTTTTTGCTTCTCTTTGGCAGCAGGATTAAACTACACTCTTTTTCCAGGTTAGTGATATAATCTTTTGAATCCTTGTTTGCCTGAAGAACATCAGTATAATGCAAAGCAAGGCTAAAGGTTATCCTTCTGGTATGTTCTCATTCTGCTCTTCTTTAATCAAGGGTAATTAGAGTAGGATGTGTTTACAAGTTGGACACACACTAAGAAAAGTTTTCTAAGTTTAGAGTTATGTTCCCAGCCATAATTTAAAGAAAGAGTTTGTGTTGCTTGTGCACAAATTCTAGGCTAGACAGGTTAGGTTACACATTATTTATGTTGGCATGGATAAGTTTTGCCAAATAATCGTTTGAAAAATGACTTTGAATTTGCTTGAACGCTTCTGGCTTCTGGCTTTGTTTTTGTTTGTCAGTCCAAGATGGACATTTACTTGAGGTGATAAAAAAAACATGTTTTTAAAGCCAAAACAGTAAAAAAAACAAACAAACAAACAAAAAAAAAAACACACAAACACAAATATACTTACAATGTACAGCTTTGTATTGACTTCCAATCATTTTACTACTTTTATTTATGACCAACCGCAATCATTGGATTCATAACCATAGCCTCAAACAAAACTTAATTCACACCATCCCGCTAAACCTTACTAGTAAGCCTCGGTAAATAATAAAAACAAATGAGAACCAGGAAAATGTCCTCAGTTCTCAATAATGACCTACTCTTTTGGTTGAAAGCATTAGCATGTTTACAAGTGCACACATTTTCAAACTTTCTATCCCTCAGAAGGCTAGACATATAATTTTTATTATTGCTTTTACCCTTTGCCACTGCTTCATAACTTTTGAGACGACATTAAGAGATCTTGAAAAGCTTTCACAAATCATATTCTTTTATAAGCAACAGTCACTACCGCGAACTTCCCCAACACAGTGTACGGACACAACCCAGGCCTTTCTCTTTTGACTGGGTTCAAGAGATCACAGTTTATATTTCCTCTTGCATTACACCAGGCTCTAAATTGTCTGGTTTTCAGGTTGCTGGCTGGCGGGTGGAAGGAGGGCCGGTTCTGGGCTTCAAACACAATATAAGCTGCTCCTTATCATCGTTGACCGCTCCGGAGCCGCCACTGAGGAGGAAGCCACTTATATCATCTTTGTTTTGCTAGGGCCCAGCTGTTTTCGCTCACTCGGCCTGAGCGTCTATCTGCCGATTCTGGCGATCTTTGATGTGCGGCGGGAGGCGCTGACCCCAAACCCTACCAATCGGCCTGCCGGAGTTCAAGTTTAAACAGTTGAGGGGGATTGTTTTTGTTTCCCCGGGTATCTGCTCTCTGTACGTGCCCCTCACTGGCCGTTTGTAACTGGGGGGAGGAGGATTTAAGTGAGATGTTCTGTGGCTGACCACACGCTTTGGACATGGGCAGCACTTCGTTAAGTTAATGTACTTACGTTGAGTTAGGTCCAATTACGGCAAGGTCTAAACCCAAACTCTCCTTTGGCAATTACTGTTAATGCAAACAAGAGTTTTAGATCCTTCAAAGCCAAACCGTAAAGTAATGTAAAATAGAAACA